GATCTTGCTCCATAGCCCATGGTCTAGAATTTTCTTCAATGCCTCTAAAGGAAGCAAGTGTCCACTGGCTTTTGGTCCTTTCCTGTCCCTTGGCACTGCACTCCATGCAGAGGACAGCTCAGCTGTGGTCGGCTGTCCTAAGCAACTGTGAGGACAGCAGTCTCCACCCTTCTTTTCCAGGTAATCTCCTGCATGACGGGATGAAGTGACCCCATGGAGCATCTTCGTGCTCTGGGAGGCCTGGCATAGAGAGCCAATCCTCTTTGGGTATTTGGAGGGACACTGGCCAGGACTTGGGAGAGCAGTGTTCTAGTCCTTTGACCTCTTGGCTTGGAAGGGAGGCTGTCCCCTGAGGAATGCCATGTTGAAGTCCTTCTGAGTGTAGGGAACCTCAGGGCAGCCTTGTGCAGAGCTCACTAGGGACAGAGGAGACCGGGTCAGACACTGGCAAGGAATTCTGGGGCCGGGGAGCCAAATCAGAGAAAGGCTATTGGTTTGAACTTCCAGAGAGCGCCGAGGAGGAGGGTGGCACAGCTGGCCCCCAGCACCGCTGACATTTGGTTCCATGAGAGAGCAATAGCTTGTTCCAATGTCCTGAGCACAATTACCAAGGCTAAGCTGAGCCACGTGACTGCCATGCTGTGTTTTCAATTATTTCCCCTCCCCGCTTTGTCTCTCTCGGTGCCAGGCCTAGAGGGAAGTCCCTTCCACAGAAGCGCAGCTCTCCACTTCAGCCCTTGCGTTCTTCTCCCTTTCACATTTTCGGGGACGACAAGGCTCATGTGGAGCAGTCTTTGCTCTTAGATGGAGGATGAATGCCTTGCCCCCGCCCCCTGCTTCTTCACTCCCATCCCATGGTCCCTGTCATCTCTCAGGAGAGCCCAGCCTTAGAAATGGCCGCTCCCTGTAGAAGAGCTTGCTTTTTACAGCTGACAGTACTCAATGGACACATTCTGAAAATATCCTCACGGGACGGGCGGTTTCCACCAAGGAATCTGACCCTCATCTGGTGTAAGTCCCGCGTGCATCCCATGTAACCAGCCAAGGAAGCCTGCAGCTTTACACCTCAGCCTCCAAGGACCCCAGGGCTTCTTTGCACCGGAGGATGCCTAGCCAGTGATTGGTCATAGCTGGGGAACTTGAAGGTTTGGAAAGGACATGGAAGAGAACGGGAATGGGGTACATAATTCCAGAGTCTACGGGAACTGTGGGATTAAGACTGCCCTGTTGGATCAAGAACCAGCTGCTATGCATGGAAATGGACCAAGGTGAAGACAAGCTTTGACAGGAATTGAAGTAGCTTAGGAAGTTCTAAGGGCCTAGGAAGTCATCATTTTCCAGGACTTAGACCTCTAGCAGCAGACAAAACAACTATTATTGCATGAAGATACACTCTTAAGCCCAAACTGGAATATGTTAATTCACATAGCAGAATAAATACCATAGCTTCAGGCATGGCTGGATCCAGCTGCTGTATGTGAGCATCTAGGCCTGGTTCTGCTCACATTCCCTCTGTTCTGTTCTTCGTACTTTCTTCCACTTCCCTCCCCATCTGCATGACTTCTGAACCTTCCATGGTGATGTTACTGTCCAAACAGTGGTGCTCAGCAACTCACTCTCAGGTCTTCCCTGCCTAGTGTCAGAAAGTCCTGGAAGGATTTTTAACACAAAACTGAGTAGTTTTCAAACTTTCAAATGGCTAATGTGTTAGTGCTGGCTGTGACACACACACACACACACACACACACACACACACACACACACACACACACACACACACCATGTACCCTAAACACCCCATACCCCACACATCCCACACACCACACACATATACTATGCATGCCCCACTGAGGTTGGTCTGAAAGGAAGGATGAGGTTCAATCGAAGTTGTTATCTGCAGTGACTCTGGCATTGAGCTACCAGTTCTGGGAACTTGAATGGACAGAGATTTGAGACATGCTGGAGACGTCAGCCCAAGGGCAGCTGGGATGGTTTGGATTGGAAAGGGGATATCTGAAAGAGAAACAAGTAACAGGAAGAAAATGGCACTGAGAAGGCAAAGACCGCGAACAGACACCGAGCCATCCTCTCGAGACAAAGCATGTTTCGGCGGAGCGGTTTGTAGCCTCCGGACTTGGCAACTGGGGCTCTGGACACATTAAATGCGGAACTGATACAGGAGTTTCCATGGCTTTAGGGGAAGGAAGCAAACCCTGGTGCCGGATCTGGAAGCAGTGGTGAGTGAAGGAGAGAAAGAGCAGAGAACAGAGCGTTTATTCAAGAGTACCAGGATTGGGGGGACAGGAGCCAGATTTGTTTGTTTTTCAAGATAGGGTCTTATCTGTCCCAGGGTGGCCTTGAACTCACTACATAGCTGAGGCTGGCCTTGAAGTCTTCATACTCCTGCCTCTCTACCTCCCAGGTGCTGGGATTACAGGCACCGCTGTGCTTGGCTTACCACATCATTTAGGGACAGAAGAGGGTTGAGTGTATTCACACGCTGATCATCCAGACCCCAGGCAGCTGGAGACACTGGGCGAAGGTGGGCAAGGTAGCGGTCCGGGGCTGTGAGGAGCCAGCGTGAAGGCTCAGGCTCCGGCCACACTGCATAGTTTTTATGATGCTCACTGTCCCATGCTTTGGTCATCTTTCTGTGACACGAGGGCAGTAATCAGAGCCCACAAGCCATTTTCTGAGGACTAAGTGGTAGCGCAATCAGAACGCTGCCTGGCACACCACAGTGACATTCTGAAGTAGTCATTTCTGAGTGTATGATGGAGCTAATTTGGAGATAGCACATTCACTGGCCAGTACTGGAGCCCAGCTGGTGGCCATGAAGGTTTCCTTGTACCAATCTGCTCAAGAATGGGTGTGGCCTGAAGGATTCAGAAGCCTGCCACCAAGCACAGCTGTCACTACAGGGCCTCTCCATTGTGGCTGGAATCCTCCTATCACGTGAGCTAGAAGGTCAGAGAACGCAGGGCTTTGGGATATTGGCCAGGGGTGCCTCATGAAATGGCCGGTGCTGAGTTATGTCCTTTTTTTTGGTAATATTTATTTCTTTATTTAGTGTGTGCATTGTATGATTACAAACATATACACCACTGTCCATGTGTGGAGTTTAAAGGTCAGAGGACAACTTGGAAGAGTCAGCCTTCTGCTGTGTGGGTTCCAGGATCAGACTGAGGTCTTTGAGCTTAGTGGCAAAAACCTTCAGTGGCTGAGACTCTTCATCTTGTCAGCCCAAGATGCAATGGTGCTTTTGGTTTGGTTTGTTTTTTTAACATTGTGCGTGCGTGCGTGTGTGCGTGCGTGCGTGTGTGTGTGTGTGTGTGTGTGTGTGTGTGTGTGTATTCTAGTGCCATGGCACACGTGTGAAGTTGGTCAGAGAACAACTTGAAGAGACTGTCTCCTGTCATGTGGCCCTGAGTACCAAACTCAGGTTGTCACGCCTGGTGGTCAGTGCCCTTCCCCACTCTTGCCGTCTTCTGCGTTAACTTCAGCTAAAGCACTCAGCCCAGTGCCGGATACACAGACAGCTGCCGAATAGTCGTTCATCTAATTATTAATACAGAAGGCAATAAATGGGCTGGAAGGTGATTCAGTCAGGAAAGTGCTCACTGTGTAAACACAAGGCCCCGAGTTCAGACCTCTAGCACCCAGGTATAAATATGGGTGTGGTAGTGCCCACCTGTAATCCCAGTGTTGTGAAGACAGAAGATGATATCTGGGGTTCACTGGCCAGGGAGCCTAGCCAAATAGGAGAGCTCTGGGTTCCGTGAGAGACCCCCATCACAAAAAATAGGTGGAGAATGGTAGAGAAAGACATCAGATGTTGATCTCTGGCATGTGCATGAGTGTGTGTATGTGTGTGTGTGTGTGTGTGTGTGTGTGTGTGTGTGTGTGTGTGTGTGTGTGTCTGAGTGTGTAAGTCAGGTGTTTCAGACAGTATCCTAAGAAAGCATTCTCTTTTGGGGGACATGTGAAGGTTCCTGTGCCATAAAACGTCGGAAGCTCTTTGCATCTCCCCATTCCATCCGGCCTGTGCACAAACAGCAGGATGGGCTGCCAAGAGCATCTCCACAGTTTGCTGTTTTGGCAGCAGCAGGCTTTATTGGGTGGCATGTACCCAAGTCAGAACTTAGCTGGCAACGGCATCAGGCTGCTCTGCCACCTATCTCATGGACACCGAATCCGTGGGAGGTGCCTCTGGGCAAAACTGTGCTGGGCTGTGGGCCTGACAGGGGAGCCAGCCTGGAGCTAGGAGCCTGGGAGAATGAACTGGTGGGATGGCTGAGGGAGTAGGCACTCACAGCCCTACCTGTCACAGGGGTCAGGCTGTGTGACCTTGGGCCTGAGGAAGGGCACATGTGTTTGTCAAGAGCCAGCTGTGTGCCGAACCTTCTGCGCTCACCCCAGCCACAGCAAACTGGCCTTTAGAAGACTCCAGTCTTCAGATCTTCACCTGGGATCAGAATGTATCAGTGGTCACTGGGCCGAGTCCTGGGCTCTAGCGTTCCTTTGGAGACACTGCAATAGATACTAAAGAGTACAAGGGGACCCGGGCAGTGGGTGCCATCCTCCTTGACCTCCTCCTTACTCAGCTTTACAGACTGTAGAGTTTCGTTTAAAGATTAGCTTCCAAGGTTAAAAGCCCTGCAAAGCCACAGGCCCCGGGAGCAATTTAATTCCTAAACCTTTCCCCATGACTCTGACTCTTAGCTTTTTTGCTAGCATCTTAGATTCAAATTTCTCTTCTCTGTTCCTCAGTTTCCCTGTCTGTAGGATGAAGGCTTGGATAAAGGGTTATGGCTTGGTCTTTGTGAGCCTGAGACATGGAGAGGATGTTAACTCCTGGAGTTATCTAAGCTCCACTTGGCCTGCAGACTGGCTGGGTCCAGGGATTCATCTGCTCTGCTTCATGGGCACCCGCAGCCCAATCCCGGAACTTGAGCTGGCAGCATGTCACACCACTTCTTCCCATTTCTTCTTTCCTCCAGGGACTCATGAAGTGGCAGCTAAGGCCAGTTCAGCTGCCACTCAGCGGCCAAGGCCCGGAGAACAGGAGAGGAAGAAGCGTGGCCTCACTTCCTCTCTAAGGATGGAGCCCCACAGCCACTCCGGAAAGAGCCGGAAATCCACAAAATTTCGCTCCATTTCCCGTTCCCTGATTCTCTGTAATGCCAAGACCAGCGATGATGGCTCTAGCCCTGATGAGAAGTACCCCAACCCTTTTGAGACTTCACTGTACCAGGGCAAGGAGGGTTTCCTTCACTCCTCCATGCAGCTGGCAGACACATCAGAGGCGGGGCTCAGGAACATTCCAGATCTGCCACTGGCATCGGGAGCTGCTCAACTCCAACCAGCTGGGACTGATCGCGGCCAGCACTGCAGGAAGATGTTCTTCATGAAGGTATGGCCAAAATCTGCGTCTCTGGCAGGGCCCATAGCTCTGATGCCATGAGTTAGTCTTTGGATCCATTTAGGCAAAAGCAGAAAAGCAAGACGTTCTCATTTTGAACAGCAACAAGGGAAAAGTTGAAGCAGGACCACCTAGAGCTCATGGCAATGGGCTTGGTAGTGAATCGGGTACAGCCAACATTCTTCTCTGAGATATTTGGTGAGAGGTGGTATCATTTGGAGATAGACTGAGCCTAGATCTCTGGTGAAAAATACCAGCTCCATAGTTGTCATCATCACCCAAGCATCCCTGGGTAAAGTGTAGACAGGTCAAAACATACCTACCCTTCACACCCAGAGCAGTAAGCAACTGGACACAGGAGAGGCCTTGGGAAAGCAGGCTCAGAAGCATGGATGGAAAACTAGCTTCCAGAATGTGACTGTGAGTGTTTTCCAGGTCCCTTCGTTCAATTGCAATGTCAAGTGTTTGGGGCTTGAGAATGTTATCCCCCGTTAGATGACTGTCCTTTTGTGAGGGAAATTGTTGGGGTACGGGGCATCCAGGCTAAAGACATGTTGTAATTATTCCCTAAGGAGTGCCATAATTTTGCTTTTGTGCCATCTATGGATGGAGAGACATCTCAAGTGTCCAAAGAGTTCTGGACCTGAAGTCATTGCTGCCCACACAAGATGGGCAGGACCCAAGGGGTTTCTCCCATAGCTTATTGCCAAGACCCTAAGGCCATCATGTGATCAAGTAGCAGCTAGAGAAGGCATTCTGCTGCCTTGGTGAAGTCTGGTACTTTTGTACACACTGACCATCAGGAGGGAACTCGCTCTTGAGTCCTTATCTCATAGGTAGCATCAGGCCACACTGTGGAGCAGATAGAGGTGGTTGTCCTAGTAACATCTAGACAGAAGCATCATCCTTAAGGTCCTACTTAGAGTAGTCTGCGCCATCACCTTGAGGGTGACTCCCACCGATGAGCCTTGAATTCATCTTATGGAGTAGAAGACAAAGCCAGTGTCTTGATGGGCTTCAGGTAAGCTGAGCAGGCCCTCAGCTGTTCGTGAATGAGGAGAGATTTATGCACCCAAGAGTTTGTTTGTTTAGAGACAGGGTTTCATATATCATGGGCCGGCCTTGAGTTCCCTATGCAACTGAGGAAGAACCTGAATATCTCGTACTTCCTTGGCTACTTCCTCAGCAGTGAGATTGCAGGTGTGGGCCACCACATCTGTTTCTGCAGTGCTGGAGATCAAATCTAGAGTTTCCCCGCAGAAGCACTTTACAACCAAGGGACATCTCCAGTCCAAGAGTCAAGTGTATTAATCACAATAGGAACTTGTGCAGATGAGAGCTCAGGTAAGTGAGATTCCGGAATCACTCGGGGATCTCACCAACTCCTAGTGTGGACTTTATTAATGCACTTCTATTTAATCACAAGGCATTTTCTGAGAACCTGCTATGTGCTGGGCTCTGTGGTGATCCGGATTCTGCCCATTACAAACCTGCTTAGAGTGTAAGCTATCCTCCAAGAGGAGTGTGGGGCTGCAGAAGGAGAGGAAAAAATAAGGAGCATGTCTCGAGGGGTGCTGGCTCTCCTTCCTTCAGGCAGTATTTACCTAGTAACTAACTGGGGAAAGGCTTTATGTGATGAATTGCCCTTGTATGGCTTGCATCTGGCCAAGGGATGTAGGTGTCAACAACTTAATGCATGATGCAGCATTTTATAGAGAAGGGCCATGAAGAAATATTGAGCAATACAAGGGGTGTGCAGTGTGATAATGAGGCACAACGGTGCTGTTTGTGAGACATGATCACAAAGCCTTCTCTACCAACCAGACCCTCAATCAAGAATCTTTGAGTTGAAAAGTGAGTCGTGACCATTTCAGCAAGAGCATCACAGACAGAGGGGCAGCACATGTAACAAGGGGAAGAAAAGAATACTCCCAGGAGTAATTAGAAGGCTGATTCAAGAGGATGGCTACAAGTTCAGGACAAGCCTGGGCTACATAGTAAATTGAATTCAGCCTGGGATAGGCAACATTTGGCCTAAGGGGGGGGAAAGTAAGTAAGAAGTAAAGTGTGTTGTACGCATCAGAAAGTCTAGAACATGATGGGCAGAGAGTAAAGGGAAGAACAGCAGGATGGGAAGCCAAAGTAGCGCCAGGGTCCTAAGCAGGGCTGTGGCAAAGCGATGCAGCTTTATTGTAAGGGTGGGAGGCAGGAAAGGGACGTGATCAGGTTGCTTTAACAGGAGTACCCAGGGGCCTGGCAAACAGGGTTGGGGGCCTTCTCGGGAGGCTACAGTGATAAGCCTGGGCGAGAACGATGTGGGTTAAACTGAGTAGTGGTGGCAGGTCCTAGGAAATAGTCACATGGGCCAGGTAAAGCTAGAAGGGCTTGCTGATGGGGGATGCAGAGTGTGAAGATGTGAGAGGAGTCACACACAGGAGTTACGGCTGCGTATCTGGCCAGAGCGGCAGCTCAGAGAAGCAATGTGTATGAGAGTGAGAGGTGGGGGCTGGAATAAGACCAGGAAAAGCAGAGTGGTTCCCTGAATGAGGTACCATTTTTCTAGGCAGAAGATTCTGGAAAGGATTCCAGGTGGAGAAAACTGCTTAAGCAAAGAGATGGAAGAGAGGATGCTTGAGGAGAGCTTGGGCCTTCCTTGTCCACTAGGCATGCATGGGCATGTCCAAGGCTCCATTGATGGACCTGTCCAGGCGAGGTATCCAGGGAAGGGGGGAAAATAGAAAGAGACCATAGATACTAGTAAAACAAAACAAAAACAAAACAAAAACGTCCTTCCTTATCATTTTTAAATTCTCATGTGCTATATTCACCACTCTTACCTCCTTGATCTTCCAAGACCCTAGGTGGGAGGCAGTCATAGCCTCATCCTCAACAGCATGAGGTGGGGGTGTGGGCTCACTGCTCCGATTGTCTGGGTTGGAAGCAAATTTGCCCACATTCTATGTGTCTGACCTTGGAACACTCACGTTTCTCCCTTGCACCTCAGTTTTCTCATCTAAGAAAACGAGAATGCTAGTGATAAAAGACGCCTTGTATGGGTTTTGAGACAACAAAACCAAGTGTTTGCATGAGAATGTTCATCTGTGCTGATTCGGTGGGCATAGCAATTGCTTGACAGATACCGTCATCTCTGTTTTCAAGGAGGAAAACTTTGTTTCTGAGCAATTAAGTAATTAATGGATTCGGTAACATTTCTCGAGTCCATTCCAATGTGCCAGGCAACACGCCAGAGCTGTGGCTTTAGTGGTGCCATAGGCTAATGATGGAGACAGGGGCAGACCAGACCACTGCAGTTTCTGTTGTGGTCAGGGCAGAGTGTGGATACGGAAGACACTTGAGTTTGGAGAGGGCTTTCCTAGTGGGGATGACTATGGGAATCCAGGTGAGCAGGGTTGAAGTTTGGACCCTTAGGAGTGTGGATGTGACAGGAACCATGGGCTAAGCAGAGGCTGGGAAGAGTGAGACAGGGTACAAGCTAGGGAGACCTGACAGGTCTGAGTCAAGAGTGGAGAGAGAGGTAATGTCTGTCTGGCGGTTGGAGATATGGTCCCTGTTAAGTGAGCACATGTAAGTCTTAAATTAATGTGTTGCAAGCAAGTGAGGTTATGATTGTTTGAGCCCCTTCTTTTTATCAAAGATGCCACGTCAGGAAGGTCAAAGGTCATCGCTGGTCCCAGTACCTTTTGTGGGGACCCTTGAGAACAGCTCAGGTCACCAACTTCTTCCTTCCAGCAGGGACATTCTGGTCCCTCCCCTGGGCTCCCTGTTTCTCCTCAACAGAAGCTCCCTGTACTCAGGCATGACTCAGTTGGCCCAGATGGACTTCTCAGCTTCCAACAGTGCCATGGTTACACTGAGCTCAAAACAACATCTGGAAGAGACCCTGTGACGTCAGCCCCTGCTCTAGAAACGCCTAATGTGAAACTCAAAGGAGAGGAAGTTGCATAAACAGCCAACTTGAAAAAAAATTTTTTTTTAAAGGAAGTGTTATTGGAAGGTTGTGTGTGGCACACCCAGGACTGAGCTGATTCCTACCCACGGATGTGCAAAGCCAGCAGGGACTGACTGGAGTTACAACCAGAGTGTGAAGTAGCCTGGGTAGTGCACTGAGGGCCCAGTGGCCACTTGCTCCAGGGCCAGCTTTCCAAAGGAACCTTGGTCCACCAGACCTAGAAAGTTTACAGGAGGAAGTGAGTGGATTTCTTTAACACTTCAGACCGGCTGTCTTTTTTCACATAAAAACTGTTTGTTTTTTTTTATCTTCCCTCCCTCCCCCCCCCCCCCCCCTCTCTCTCTCTCTCTCTCTCTCTCTCTCTCTCTCTCTCTCTCTCTTTCTTTCGAGTTATGTGGACAAAGATGATCTTGAATTTTTGATCTTCCTGCCTTTGACCTCTGGGACATACCCTACCACACCCAGTTTAAGCAGGGGTGAGGATCGAACTTCATGCTAAGCAAACATTCTACCAGCTGAGCTATATTTCTAGCCCCAAAGAGTATTTTTAAAAATGTCTTTTGAGCAGAATATCAAGGCCAAGGAAAGAAAGCTAAGCCAGAGAAGGACACTCCCTTCCTCCCTCCCTTCCTCTCCCCCCTTTCTCTCTCTTCCTTCCCTTTCAATATTTGTTTCCAGTCTCTACAAAAACTGGATTTTTCACATATTCTAAGCTATTATATGGAGTAAGAAAACAAATCTGGGGGCTGAAAGAAGGCTCAACAATTAAGAGCACTTACTCTTCTTCCAGAGGACCCAGGTTCAATTCCCAGCACATATATCATGGCTCATAACCATTTGCAACTTCAGTTTGAGGGGATCCGACACCCTCTTCTAGCCTTCATGGGCACCAGGCAAGAATGTGGTGCACAGATATACATGCAGGCAAAACACCCATAGGATTAAAAAAAAATTTAAAGAAAAAAATTTGGTGCTATACCTTCAGGGGACTTGTATAGAGACAACAATTGTAGGAGTAATG